TCTAGGGCTCTCTGTTCCGGCCCCCCCCTCCAGGCTGCGCCTCCGTGATGTGCGCGGTACACAGTATTTTACCACTCCGTTCACGATTTCAATCACGTGTGGCCTCCAGTGACCCAACGCAGTCGTCGACGGCGTGGTAGTTTCCCAACGGGAACTGTAAAGAAACCCCTCCCCACGTCCGATGAAATGCATCGAAAAAAAAAAGAAAAACAAAGAAAACCAAAACTTGACGTAATAGCTCGTGACTTTGCGTCCAATGTTTCGCCGGAGTTTCACCGACTTATGAGGAGGTGAATAATATGTATGTATATATATATATAAATATACATATACATATACATATACATATATATACATATGTATATACATAAACATATACATATAAGGAAGATATATATATGTATATATAGGATATATACAAATACAGAAGAATATGCATATACAGAAGGATATATATGTAAATATACATATACATATACTATTATATATATATATATATATATATATATATATATCCATATGCTGGGTAGTCTTCGGAGCATCCCGTGTTGGAAACCTGGTCCAGCGAGTCAGCGACCCTTTGGGTAATTTGACAATTTCAAAATTAAGTGTGTGGACATTGAGATGTTTGTGACTGCACAAGACTGCATGACCTGCCTGAAAAGAAAACACGAAGCCAAAAAATATAACATTCTTGTGACTTTGTGCAGAACTGTTGTGAACTTGGTTGTTTTAACTTGTTCGTCAATTATCAATTCTTCGTGAACGACATAAGTTCGTGCAACACACACACGCAGACAATAACATGCACGCCCATACATGCAGCACAGACTATACAAGGAGGGACCTCTGTCTGCCCGGCAACACAAAATTAGTACACGATGCACACAAACTGAGTAGGCAGCGGAAAATTCCTGAAAGCACTATGCACAACTGTGGAGATAACACTGCGTGTTTAAACCGTGTTTCTCACTCTCTGACAGTACTGTCTAGACTCCCAATAGTGCCAACAAGTGGCAACAACCAATCACAAAAAGATACCTCATCCATGATCATGCATCTGACCTCTACCTGCCCGGCTATAGGCTCTCATGCTACGGGCCTAGGCCAAGGGCCTCCCGTCCTAGTGGTAGCCCGGGCCGAGGTCGACAGTCTTTCTCTCTCTCTCTCTCTCTCTCTCTCTCTCTCTCTCTCTCTCTCTCTCTCTCTCTCTAAGTCCAGGAGATATCAAGGCCGCGTCATCGACAACAATATCCCATGCCAACCACGATAAGATACCTGCGAGGCTGCAAGGGTGCCAAGAGAAAACTGCAATGTTGAGCGGATATGTAGCAACATCCCTACGACCTCTGCCTGCCCGGCTATAGGCTCTCATGCTACGGGCCTAGGCCAAGGGCCTCCCGTCCTAGTGGTAGCCCGGACTGAGGTCGACAGTCTTTCTCTCTCTCTCTCTCTCTCTCTCTCTCTCTCTCTCTCTCTCTCTCTAGCTCTCTCTCTCTCCGCGGCCGATCGATGAGCCATGTGTTTCTTGAAGAGTGGCCTCCATTCTGCGCAGCAGCCGCTGCGCCTGAGCTCGCCGATCAATGGGGGCAGGAATCGTCACCGATGTTGTGCCTTGCAGTACCTGGCCGAATGGCCCGAGTCGTGTCCTCGGTCTCACTCGTCGCCCTCCTCCAATATCTCCGTCCGCCCCCTGAGGTTCAGGCACGTAATCAGAGTCCCCCGCATCATCAGTGCCTGTGGTCTCTCCGGGGGCGACATCCGTGCTGTCATCGTGGACGATAAGTACACTGCCACGTCTCTTCTGACCTGCCACTGCATGTCCTACAGTGCCTGCACCCTCCCTGCAGACGCTGTCCGCCCCCGCAGGCCTCTCTCCAACATCCAACGCAGCGCCATCAGGTGTAATCTCTTCGTCCTCGAGAGGCGCAACATCGAATCGCCCAATGTAGGATCGCATATGTGGCGACGAGCATGTCGCCTTCCTTTCCGAAGCCTTCTTCCTCGCTCGAGAAAGACTCGCCTTCGCGGCCCTCGTAGCATGGACATCAGAGGTCTTCGTCGGCAAGGCGCTCCCATGTCGGTCCTCATACTCTGACATGGCGATGTGGCGAGCACCGTCGGCTATCCCGATGGATCGTGTCCCCATACAAGGTGCAGAGGGTCTGCCTGCAATCCGGGCTCCCGGCTCGTCCAACCCCCCAGCACTGCCCTCAGTGGCATAGAATGCCACTGTCGTCAAAACAGTGGCTCTGTCGCGCCGTGCTGTCGACGAGGACCCGACCGCAGGCTGTCGTGTGGGGTCCATCGTGTCCGTGGCGGGGACACCCGTAACTTTGCCGGAAGTACCGCTAACGGGGTGATGCTCTGATCTCGACGGCGGACTTGAGGGTCTTGCTGATCTGCCGGCTGGGTTATCTGCCCCGCCTACACACCCTCCCTCAGGAACGCCAAAGGAATCGGACAAACTGCGGTGTGCGATGCTGCGGTGACCGCCGCGGTGCTGTCGAGTAAACGTCTCGGCCTTCCCAAGGTCCACCTCATGTGGCCTGCCAACACGAAAAATCGTGGGCGTGGCAGAAACAATCGTATCGCCTCCAAACTCGTCAAACGTGCCTGGTGCGCGTTCCATGGCGACGGGCTGTTGCAGGTTGGGCGTTGGCACGTAGGGCAGACCCGGAGGGGAGCGAGGCGAGCGCCGAGTCCATGGCCAGTAAATCAGCGGTACCAGGAAGACTGTCGGTGGGGCAATCCAGGCCGACAAGGGCAACAACGATATGCTCAGCGGCGGGAGTGAGTGAGACGACCACGTCCAGGAGATCGTCGCCTAGACACACATCAGCAGTCCCCTCCGTCAATGCACGCGGTGGCCGCGACACAGTGTCAACTGCATGGGCTCCCTGTGTGCTTGGTTGCTGCCTCTCAACCCCCGCCATGCCTACATCGGGATGATCATCCAAAGCACTGGGAGCCGGCGGCACAGTCTCTCGCTCCGCCGCTGACGGCGGTAGTCGCACATCGGAGGTTGCTACAACAGACAATGCAGGCGCTCCAGCAGAGGTGAGCTGATGCATTGAATGAGCAGAACCCTCGTCGTCCATCACCGGGAGAACACCGTTGTCTCCCTTCAACTCGGGATGACGCATCGACGGTGCCAGACCCAATTCCGATTCCTGGATTGCTGCCGAGGACCCCGTCGGAGTTGTCGCGTGCATACTGAAAGTGTCAATTCCGGCATGACCGGTCCCGTAATCACCTCCATCCGCTCCTCGTCGCCATGGTCGCTCAAAGAGTCCTCTGAAACAGGAATCTGCTCAAATTGAGGGACTGCTGCTCTTGGAATGCCGGGAACCCTGCCATGACGTTTGCGCACACGGGAAGCGATAGTGTCTCGTTCCCTGGGTCCACGCTTCAAGCGCCTCAAGCCACCGCCGTCCACAAGACCTGCACCACCATCAGTCGCTCCATCTCGCACCCTATCCGAGGCTGTGAGGTGCTCGCCTCCCGCCCCCTGGACGTCCATGGTGTCACCGTCTGCAGGTCTCGAGGCCACTGCACAGCTCCCTGCATCAGCGTCACCATCAACACGGCAATGTCCCGCTCCCTCGTCAAGCCCTCTATCGCCGTCTCTCCCTGTCGAGCGGGGTTGTGGCCGATCTCCCCCATCACCACGATCATCGCCTCCGGAGCTGTCATCGTCGTCCACGTCCGGGTGACGGTCGTCGAAATCGCTGTCGCCATCCTGTGCACGCGTGCCACTGCCAAAGCAATCCTCATCGTCACTCGACGAGCTCTCGTACAAAAAGTTTCCCTCGTCCCATCGCTGGCGAGGCTTGCGTACAAGCTGGTCCGCCGTCACTCCACGACTCGCGACACTCCTCCTCCCGTCAGGACCTCCACGCCCGCCTCGCCCACAACCAGCCCGACGACCACCTCCGCGACCACCTCCACTACGTCTCCTCTTGTCTGACTCTCGCAAACGACGAGCGGCTCCCATGCGGGACACGGCACGCATCCTCTCTCTAGCGTGCAACAACTCCTCATGTGTCACCGCAACACGGGCTCCTCTGTCGGCGACAAGCTGCTGGTCAGTGGGCACCTCCTCCTCCACGTGCTGCCAATAGTGCACCGAGCTTCCGTATGGATGTGGCCTGTCGTTAGGAGCATCGTCCGACATACCCTGCCTGTCGAGGAGTCGAAGGTTACAGTGGCATCGCACGAGCTTCTCGGCCCGTGCCACCTCCAATCTGTTTCGGGATTTGGAGTGGATGAAGCTCCAGCGGGACCATGCTCGCTCGCAGGGCGATGCAGTYGCCCACACACRCAGTATCCTGCYGRCAAAGAAGRCCGTGTGCGGGAACCTCTTCTCCTTCGACTCCCAAAACGTGGCTGGATGGGTGTAGCTCCTCGCCGCTCGGTCCATGGCCACGTCGTCGAACGGCGGTTCCCTGGTGTGAAATTTATCAACGGCAGCCAACACCTCGTTGTGTTGATCCGAACCATTCGGGTATCCGAACTGAATAAGAGCGACTTTCAAACCCTGCTGCATCTCGTCGTCGTCTGGCATCGTGCGCTCTCGAAACTCGGGATCCAACATCATGGCAGCAATATGAGCAGGCGACTTGAATATTGTGCGGCGTTTGTCAAACACTTTGAGAACTGCGTCCTGCTCATCCCTTTCAAACGAGGCACATGCTGACAAACAATGCATGATCATCTCGTCATACCGACGCAAAATCTTTCCAATCTGCCTCGTGTCGCTGTCCACCATCTGCAGCATGTCCAGGATGGGATCCAACAACTTGCACAATGCCGTCATATCCTCCCACCACCGAGGATAACCGACACATGTTGTGACCTCCGCGGCGTCGTCTCTAATCTTCTTCGTCGCCCAAACAGTGTCCTTCCACCGATCGTCGATCACCACCCTCATGAGATGCGATTGCAACTTAAGAAGTCGCCGCATCATAATGACGTGCGTGTCGAAGCGAGTCTCGGAAGGAAGCAACAGTGCTGCCGTCGAGAAAGATTGCAAAACCTCGCGAGCATGGCTATGGCGCTTGAAAAACTTTATGACCACACACGCCTGAGCAATGCGGGTCGCCACCCACTCAATGCCGCCGATGTCCTCGAGGATGAGGTCCATGACGTGCGCCACACAAGGAATCCAGAAGATGTGCTTAACACTCTCATCCTTCTGGAACACCTCCATCGCAGAAACGTTGGAACTAGCCGATTATGTGACGAACGCGGTGATGTCTGCGAGCTTGATGTCAAGGGACTTCAACCTTCGCAGCTAAGCCTGCGCCAGAGCAGCGGCATCCTTCTTTCCTCGCATGACATCTGTCGCGACGTATGTCGCGCCCCGCGTGGTCCTTACGAGGTAGTTGCACAACGCTTGGCCCCGAATGTTGGTCTACCCGTGTGTCATGATCGTGCATCCGTAGGTTGTCGAAGTGGCAAGGACGGTTTTCACACACTTTTGAACTTCCGTATCAAGCTCATTCAAAAGCGAGGTACGGATCATGTGATATGTCGGGGGTTTCGGGGTGGGCAACCCGGGAACCCCAGATGGGATGATCATTGTCAACATGCGTTTGAAGCTCTCAAGCTTCACGCAGTTGAACGCCATGCCGCTCTCGACAAGAAATCGCATGATTTGCAGGTGCCATGCGTGCTCCAGTAGGTCGTTGTAATACGATGTCACCGCCTGCTGCCTGTAAGTGCCCTTCACTCGTGCACCGGCGCCGCAACCTAGCGAATCCCACACCCCGCCGACAGTCGCAGGTGATGCAGGTGGGCCTGGGCTCGGAGCAGCAATGTTGCGCAAATTTTGCAGAGGATCCAATGTCCCAAAGAAACTGTGCTGCGAGGTCGAGGCTGTCACGGGCGCAGGAGTGGGTGACGAATCCGAAACTTGAATGGGCTCGTCGAGCGGGATGGTGCCAGCCCCCGCAGGGACCGTTGCGGCGGCCTCGCAAACAGGTGCGAAAGTGAAGTCTGGTGCCCGTCCACGTGTCTGCGAAGGAGGGGGCGGGAACCATGGATACGCAGCAGCCTGATGTCCCGTCGCGGGTTGTTCTGCCGCTGGGGGAGGTGCGGCTGCTCGTCGAACTCTAGCAACCTTATCCCTGTTCGCGGTGAACACCGGGCCGAGGCCGCTCGATGTTCCAGCGCCCTTCCCCCACCTTCGACCCTCGACGAAAGCACGAGTCCCTGACTCATCCAACAACACAGGTCCCCCGACATCCGAAACTGGTGCGGTGCCTTGCGCATCAGGCTGCGTCGAGACCGATGGAATGGCACGTGAGTCACGCACGCACCCACCGGGAACGGCACCATCAACGGGCACTGCAGTCGTCGCATGAAGTGGTGCAGGTGAGACTGCCGCGGGACGAGGGGGGAGCGGAGCACGTGGTGCACGAGGAGATGGCGCCATCTGGGAGGGGGCAGCAGTGGAAGGAGGCAGTGAAACAGAGTCCTCGGGAAAACGAAGCAGTGGCCATTGGAAAGAGGGATGACCTAGAAGGAGACTCTGCAAGGCTTGCACGGCAGAAGCCAAATGTGCAGGATATTTTGACATATCCTTGGACCAAATCGCGTGCCACACCGCCGGGGTTGCCACGCCGCATCTGTAGCCCTCGCCACGAAAAAAATGTTCCTTTGCATCGCGAGCACCCCCGCATATGGAACGCCCGCATAACCTGCACACACAACGGCGACCGTTCTTCCTCCCGACTGCACTGGACCCGTCCAAATAACGACCACGAGCAACGAAATGCCAAACGTGGTCATCTCGTTTCCCATCTGCCTTTGGATCCACCTTGAAAGGGGAGTCAAAGGTCTTCGTGCTATGACCTTTTCTTCCACCGCCTGACCTCTTCCCTGTCGCCGAGGAGGACTCCACAGGGCCCTTCCCAGTGTCCCGTGGGGCGGACATGTTGCGTAGGCTGAAGAAAGTGAAAAGAAGGGCAAACTGAACCGTGGAGCTGGAGCCGACGATGAAGAACTGTGCTGGATATCCGACAAACGAACCTGAAGAAGATAGACAATCACCAGAAGGTACACAAGTTTCATAACAACCACAACGACAAACAAGAGAAGGAACAAACATAAAGACCCTTTTCTCCCCGAGTATTGAAAACACCGCTACAAATAAGAAAATAACAACCACAAGTTCAACGTCTTTAAAAAAGGAAGAAGAAAACCAATAAACAAACAACCAACGGCATCCTGTCGATGCCAAACCTATATAAACCTTTCCCACTCATACCACCCCATTTATATCTCTCTTGTTAGATTCATTTTAATTCATTATTTATTCCGTTTATGGCGGTTCACCGTCAGTGCCGCCACCAACAAAGGAAAAAAAAAAAAAAAAAAAAA